GCTCTCCTTTCGGGGAGGAATCGTGAGGGTTTTTAACCCCGCTATGAGTCATGGAGCAGTCGCCGTGCACAACGGCTAGCCTCGGCATCTGCGGCGGAAATCGAAATGCATAGCGGCAGCTGTTTCTATCCTGGTGCATTATTTGGCCATTAGTTCGATCTTAAATCTATCTAATGGAAGACAGTCACAGGGGTCTTAGAAAAGACAATAGTGGTTATTATTATGCAATGGCTCCATCAAGCCAGGCGACTAACGGTAAGCTTTATTACGCTTTTTTTTTAAACCAATCTCAATAACAAATAGCATGTGATGCACTGAACTAGCCAAAATCACAGTAAATTCGCATTTTGAATGCCACTTCAGACCCATACTCCTTTTAATTGTCGAAACTACCAGATTGATAAAGTGATTTTAGAGCAGAACGGACCTTTGGCAAAACGTTTTGTCCTTTACGCATTTTGAGAAGGTCTGGAAATGGAAACATTGATCGATACAGCTTTAAGGCACCTCGGTAGTTAGTATAACAACCATGTTGTTTCACAGCTAAAAAATAGAAAAATAGAACAGAATAGTAAAATTCATATGGTATCCAGCTCGCCAAATGGTGTCAGCGTACTAATAATATCTAATCGTTTTTGACGCTGATTTCTATATATTAGAGTGCTTTCTCTATCACCATCTTTACGGTCATTTCCGCTAGCTTGGTTGTCCCAGCAGCGCACGTAAACAAACGTACGCCGCTGGAGTGCGCCAGTAAAAAGGCGGGCAACAATACTAGGATCCAATGCCTGACATAAAATTGTAACAAAGTACACTCAGCTTAAATGTATTTTGTAATCCGCCAGAAAATCATGCCTTCTTCAATTGCTCTGTGAAGCACTTTCCCTTCTCAATTATATAGTACAATGCGGTGTAGTTACCAAACAGTTGTGAAATTCGATGAGACATTGTATTACGGCGCCAATCGCACTCTTAGAATATTTATTGACCCAGGTAGAAGACCTACCGCCTCAGGTGTTAAAAAATGAATGTTTTTCAAATAGTCAATGTTACGTAAATTTGAAGTGGGCACTGCAGGAGGAACTGCAAACATGGATGGATAGATGGCAAAATGACACGTGCTAATATAAAGGTCAAATTATCTTAAAAAAATAGAGCCTGATATCCTATTAATTTTACCCTCTCTGCTTGAATTACACCTAACTGTCGTTTACAATGATTCAAAACGTATGTTCGCTTCTATTAAATTTAATTCTACAAGACTGCATTGTTTTATGTAGGTTCGGCAGGATTAGCATTGAAGGTCCTGCGGTCGTATGCTCTCGCCAATCTAGGCCATCACGCTAAAATATAACTGCTGTGTATTCAGGTATGTGCCTAGCGCAAACCAAAACTTCGATGCTGGAAAGAAGTACAAACACTTTTTAGCTTTTCTTAAGATTAGAAGGTCAATATATGATATGGCGAAATTAGCAATAAAACTTTATCAGGAGAAAGGTAATTAAAAAATCTTGAGTCATCACATCAGATAACCATATCAGTAATTACATTATTAACTATATGATGAAGAGCTACATGAGTAGTTCTTACGCGCACACTACACCGCAGGAGATAGTAATCTCCTGCGGTGCGCCGCAACTTATACGGCACGGGATTTCTGCCACGATGAAAAATATTTTTTTCTATTTCTTTCGGCTTTCCACTTCATGTCTCGTAAACATTCATCGACTTCGGCGCGTATTGCAGTTTTCCGTCTTTATACGAACAGAACACATATCGATTTACAGAAGATTCGTTACTTCCTCGGTTCGATTTAATGGCGGGGCCTGTTGCCGCCGATAGGCAGTAAACGATAAGCGAGCCCAAGCGCGATCATTGGAAACAACCGCAACGTCCGAGTTCACCATTCGATCGATCGCTATCTATAAATACCGTCACTGGGGCATCGAAGAGATGCCGTCGGAAAACGCGACAAGCTGCTTTGTTTCTACTGGCGGTTGTTTTTTCAGAAAATTTGACGAAATGCTCCGTTCCGATGTGCCGCAAACGTCAGAAGTGGAAGCATAAGACTGAAGTGGAGAAGGAACAGCAGTTTTGGCATACGCCAATGTCCGACACTTGCCATTACGTTCTAGATACGCCATCAGTGTATTAGACCCGCGCAAAAGTCGTTTTTCCTTAGAGAAAACGCTTGGCGCCTTCCTTTGTTCATGCTCAACTCCCACGATTTGCCTGTGGCCGCTTGTTTCCTGCTATAGCGTTAAAGCACACATCTTCACTTGAATGTCTATCTCGATATATATATATTTATATATGTAAAAGCATCGGACGCCTGATAATAGTATAACTTTTTTTCAGTTAGCCATATGGTCACGATGTGTTCATTTAAAGAAATTTTGACGCGTGGTCGTGTACCTACGGGCATGCAGGGTTGTGACAGAAAAGGATTCTTCACTTTTCTCGAAAAGTATCGATGTTGAGTACCGAATTGTGCCATAACCGTCTATGTAAAACCGCTACACAGGAAATTTGTATAGGGATGGTTCTTACGAGGAAACCTGTTCGCGTATCGTTTGCCCAAACCTAGACCTAAACAGAAGAGCAAAATTAGTTCGAATTTGGAGCGTATATATAAGGCTTGCTCGCTTGGACAGGGCCATCAGCTCTCTCAATTAGACCCGAAATAAGAAAAAAAGTAAAATTTAATTTTAATCTCATTAGTAGATAAAGTTAAATCGTATCGTCTTAAAAAAATTTCTTAAAATACATAGAGCATGAAAGCGAGTTAGCATGGTGGAAACAATTACGGCAATCCAAACTTAATTGTACTCGCATGAGTACATGGAACAAAGCTTAGATATTTAGAACTGTTTAAACTTCAACGAGTTTAACATAATGAGAAAGAAACTTCCTTTAATACAACAGACAAGCACTGAAAAGAAACTTATTTATCTATAATGATTTATAGTAATCTGTAATAACTTACAATAATTCATTTGGCGTGTACGTGCGTTTCAGAATAAACGTTTCATGGTGTATTATTCCGGCAGTGCCTAACACGCCCTGCTAGAAAGTAACTACAAATTACAGAATCATAGCACTAACGATAATAATGAAAAACAGCGGGAAATCAATTTGAGATCTAGCCCTATTGCATTGTCGTACAATGTTGATACCATCAGCGATATCCGTCTATGCGCCCTATACCATAGTTGTTCTCTGCATATTGCGGTAGCCAGTTTATTTAAGGGTCTATTTTCTGTATTCTATACATTGATTTAGGTGCCGTAGGATAGAAAAATGAATAAATGACGAAAATAAAAATTCAGGACGAAAAGGGATACATCAAATGATATCATACGGGAATCACATCAATGGTAGATAGATATTCTGGGCAGCATCTGCACGCACCCATCAAAGCTTTACTGGGCATATAAAGCGGACGTGTCATCTTTTGGAACTGTCAAGAAACCTAAACCTATTAGGAGCATGATTAGGCAAATATATATATATATATATATATATATATATATACAAGTAAAATTGACAACTCCTACCAGAGAGGCGCACATTTAGTTTTTGTTAAATTCGAGTGATTTAAAAAAAAGAAAGAAAGAAGCGCCTATCATCAAAGTATGGCCTTTTCTAATTCAGATTTACGTTTTCTTACTACCTTAGCTTACTAAACTTTTCACGTTGGTGTCAATGGCTGTTGACCGACATGTTATGCACGTATGTCAATATTTGCGTCTATGGCAGAGCAAGCAATTACATTCAAGCCAGGCCAGAAGCAACAGAAGTTTCTTTCTAACCCTTTTGCGCCTCATAATAATCGATTTATTTCGAACAGCCGCGTAATCAAAGTAAAAACTCCACTATCGAGAAATGCTAATTCGGATAGTCATATATAACGCGCCCAATGGATTCTTTAGGCATCAAAGTCTAGTTTTTCGTGCTGGGTTGTGAGCGTCATTGGATTAGCCAGAAAGGTCGTAATTTTTTCGACCTCTTTGTTCTTCTGGTTATATATGATACATTTAGCATGGTTCTCGTACTTTGTGCGTACGTGTGGAGAGGCTGGTCCAGAAGACCCCAACAGTGGCAAACGCTTGCTGTGTACGCCCAGCAAAAGGTGACCGGTGGTAATGACTCGGCCCTGTTACATTAAGGTGGTCCAGTATACTTATTTATTTAGAGCCCAGAATAAACAGCCGACCCTTTTTATTCAGGTTATTTATACAGTTTGCCTTTTTTATTTCGAAGAAAGTTTTCTGAGAATAGCTTTGAAAGCCTTGACACTTGTATATCCAGCAACTGATATGAGCAGGGTCATAAATCCGCTTATCGATGGTTTGTTGCAATGAAACCTCGATTTGAATCATAGCTAGGTTCTTCACGTACAAATGCCTAGGTACCAAAAAGAACGAAGATATAATAACGTTTTATATAATGGAGTCTATTACTACCGACTATTGATAGTGAAAGAAAGTCCGTCATAGATATACCCAAATGCCTGGCCAACGATACTGAATGATGTGTAAAATACCAAGACTCGTTAAATTACAGTTTTATAGTACACCATTTAAATAAAATTTATGTTCAGACCATTTAGTCAACAGTGTTTCTTACGCAATGTGAATAAGATTTTTTAGAGCATATCTAAAATAAACATTTTTTATTTTTACGATATTCCAGGATTTACCGAGTTATGGCCTCACCTAGAGCAATTGGCTAAGAGGGAGCGACTGTAGAGTCAACAGAACGGTCAGCTTTTGTGATCAGATCGGAATAGTCCATGTGACCAATATGAATACAGATGAGCACAGTATAAGCTGAAATAGATGTCAAATTGGCTAGGAAGCTCGTCTATTGCGAAATTATCAGTTGAGGTCATACAAAAAGTGGGTTGAAATATCGGACGAAATGCAGACGCACATCACTGCAACCTTAATATACGCGCTATGTACATAATATTCGTTTTGTCCGTTGATTCCTTTCAGAATGTCCTGACTAGTTAAATCGTTGGGTGTGAGGAGAAAATGTCGGGTTTAGGCCCCGCAACGGCCGGGCCCCCGAGCTCAGGGCCAGCTGCCCCAGTGAACGCTAGCCGTCTTTCAAAAATTATTGGCGGCCTACAAATGCCAAGTGTCGTTAATGGGTTCTCAATTGGTATCACTAATGAGCTTCACCAACGACAGTTACAAACGAAACTGCAATCACATCAGCAGCAATCTACACAACAACAACGAACCCCGCAGGTCCCTGGTCCACCGTCGACACCCGTCGTTCAGATAACGTCGCCACAAGCCGCGTTTAAGCATCTGATGACGCCCAGGTGTACGATGTCAATCACGAGAACAAAAGGATTACTCAATGCTCCTGGACAAAATAATTGTTTCCTGAACTCCGCTGTTCAGGTAGGTGTGAAGACATGCATCGCCATTGATCATTTAAAGGCTTGACAAACTAACAATTGCCCATTATATTACTAAGTCTGATTTAATCATGGCTAATATGTCTGTTATTAAGGAAAAAAATTATCGGCATGTTTTTAGCAGTCGACATAGAGTAAAAGAGTAAACAGACAGAGAGAAGGAGAGATGGAGGGCTGTTGTTTCGTCAGACACGGTTCTCACGTAGAGTTTTACTTTCACTTGGGACTTGATTTGAGCGCAAAAATCGTTAGTATCTGCATGAACTCCTCGAGGGAGATCGACTAGGTAACAATAATTCGATGTTTTTCGTTTCAAGATATGCCTGGGACGCTGGCACTGCTTTAGGTATTATGCTTTCTTAAATTTTCGGAGTTGTTAATGCTTCTTGTAACGTCATCACTGGCGTTCGTGCTAGATAAAAACGAATTTAATAGCTCTTCGCATTCGTTCCTTTCCGACGGCCGACAGACGCCTTGTCATAGTTATTATGGAAGAATACTCTCTATTTTATGGGATAACGATGTACCTGCGTGATTTTCTGTGTAATGCGAGCTGATGATCTATACCTCCCTAAAATTTACTAGATTGGTCTCACTTTGCATCGGCAGTCGAAACGGGCCTATTAAGGTGAAATTGCATCATAGCGCGAGTGCAAATCAGCCGAAGTTTATGTGGCCTGTTTCAGATCACGATGTTGCCGTCGTTATTATAGTTACTTATGTCGTCGTCACTATCAAAACTGATTTATATAGAGTAATTAATGATAGTAATAATTTGTCATAGCAATAACGTTACTAATTTCCGCAGTTTTCGTTGACGATACGTCCGAGAAGCTGTGCCGCTTCACCTAAGATTATTATAGAAGTTCGCACGGTGGAACATCAGTGACTCTCAGCTAGCCACTACAGACACGATATGTATGCGTATAGCTCAACGCCAAAACGTATTGGTCACGACGGCATTTTGCCTCGTCGTCTGCTAGAGGTTTGTTACATATTGTAGCTATATTGCAACATCGTAGAAAGCTTGTGTACCAGAGAGGCAACAAAAGCTGTACTATTGAAACAGATAAACGCAAAGAGAAATCGAACGGTATTGGCTGAGTCCATATATTATTATTATATTGTTTTCGTCATGAATCAGCAAGTTCACCCTGGTTTCTCAACTGATTCGTTGGTGTCCGCGATGCATGTTGATATAATACGTTTAACTCCAGGGAAATACTTCTTCTAGGGAAGGCTACTTCAGTATCTAAGCTGATCGTTTAGCAGAATCGGAAGGCATAACCCGAAATCTCCCGTAGTTGACGTACGGCAACAGTGTACCTGCTACTGAATGTAGGCTCCGGTTGGGCTGTGTAATACTAATGAGCGAGCGATTAAGGCATCGTTTCGAAGCGGTCGCTGCACAGGAGCGTGAACTTTAAGTTCATTCGATTGTGGGGAAGCTAATCAATTATTTGGGCTAAATTAACCCATTTTTTTTAGATATCGCGTAATTGACCTTTGCAGTGGGCCATTAGATACATGAACTTGGAATTATAGCATAGCGATACAAGTAAGGTAATTTGTCAAAGAAAAGAATGGCTGAAACAGCAGAGACTACATATGGAGAGCAAACTAATCAAAATACCTTTATAGCATCGGAACCCCGACATCGGCTACATCCCTATTCGACTTCCATGATTATTTACCAAACCTATTCTCTGTTGTAGCACGTCTGGTTCTTTACGAACTCCGTAAGCATGCGAATACTGGCCGCTGCCTGTGCATCTAATCGTTTATTGTTAGCAATGCCATGGCTAACGTTGGTAATCCTTGAGGAGTTGTCGCTTGGGCAAAAGAATCTATTGAATCGGACGACTATAACACTCCAGTTTAAAAGCTCATGAGCCTTTTTTTTTTCGATTTATTTCTGTACGCTTCGCTCAGAAAATGTTGTCCCTCTCACAAAGCTATATGATATCATCTGCTTGTCCTTTTCAATTTGATTGTTCTCACGGGCGCAATCTTTTTGCTTTTCTAGAATTTTTCTTTATCACCATACGTACCCTTAGACGATTCGCTGTTCATTATAGCGGCTTACCACGAGCTACTTATATATAGTACCTATATCTGTTTTTGGTCTTTCGATACGTCTTGATCTTGCTTGGAAGATGTTGATTTAATGACTGCAAAACTAGCCTAGACGGTCAGAGCCACTGGCATGCTTTGCGAGTAGACACACGAGCTGTACGTTAGTGATGTATTATCTTCTATTGTAATGGCAACACAACACGGCTGGTTACATAACAATGCGTTCGTATTTAAAAAAAAAAAAAAAAAAAAAGATACGTCTGTGGTCATGGTTTGGGTAGTATCCTGAGAGATGGGTTTCGGATTGTTTCAAAAATGGTAATCGGCCGTCGATCAGATGTAAGTCGCGTGTGTTTGATATGTGTAGACCAGGATACGATACCGAAACGGGCGATGCATGTATATGTTTACGATAGTTTATGTAAGGGCCGTCTAACACGATATAAGATATATTGCGAAGGCCACTACTGAGATTTACGAGAGCCATTGTATAAATTTACATTTCTTGCATTTTGAACAAGGAAAATATTATTAGCGCTCTAGTAAGATAACTTTAGCGAGGATTTAAGTACCAGGAAACTAGCCCCGAGTTTGCATCCCTGAAGTCGTGCGCGGTAGGCTGATCTGACAATATCAACCTAAAGGCTGAACGGTAATTAGCGCATTTAGTGGACACGATTGTTTACCATAAAAAAAAAACAAAAATTAAGAGGTGATTTGTTCTGCACACCGTTTTTTGTGAAAGCTATTTCTGCTCCCGGGTTATCGATGACTGCGCTTCCCATAATTCGGACGCTAGTATAATTATTTCAATAGTGTAGATCAAGTAAACGATTTAAACTAGCATCACATTCAATAGTCGGCATTCAACGAGTATTTCTATCATTATAATGCGAACCTTGCTCCGTAAAGGTGTTGGACTGTACTTCAAATAGAAACCGCTCTACACCAAAGTAACATTGTTCTTTTCACCTTCCGCCTGTCTTGTGTAGCCGAGCGTGCATGTGCACGCTCTGTTGCACATGATACACAACGAACGAACCGCACTAGCGTCAAGCATGCACGTGTGAGCTTCTTGCTGCCTTGGAAGGGTTCAACGGGTTATTCAGCGTGCGCCGGATTATATCCTGTTCCTTCAAGCGAAATATCGTCGTGCACACGTCAGAGTTGCTACCAGGGATCAAAGCAATGCGGAATACAAGAAGAACTTAAGCTGAGGTACCCATGCAGGCTCAGAGGACTCTGACGGGTGACAGAAGAATTCACAGGCCGAAATGTCATGAATCCTTTTGCACTCGCGAGCACTGCTAGGACTTCCCTCTGAAAGGAAATGGCTGCCGTAAGCAATGTTTAATGCAAGTTTCGGCCTGTGGCATCTCCTTGGTTAGAAAAATAAAGAAGCTAGACGTGCCAGGCACCCACGTGACAAGGACTCATTAGGATTGGTCTATAACAAGCGGGTGCAGCACCCGAAGTATTCTAGGAGAAAAAAAATCTCCTTCAACACGACTCGAACAGTAGGTCCGTTGGTTCCGTCGGACTAATGACAAAGTAATTCATCGAATATAGCACGATTGTTTGTTAACCTCAAAGCTATCGAGCATTGGAGCTCGCTTAAGCCGTGTGGAAAAACCCTGCGCACAAATCCAATCTAGTTAAACAATTAACATCGTATTAGGTTTGATGTTACCGACAAATGATCGCGGTATTTATTGTATTAGGACAGTGGCGGTAGCAGTGGCTGAGTCTGGTACCTGAGGGTTGTTATGGCACTTTCTCGCCTTCTGTGTGGCTGAGTGCAAAGATCAATGATTTTTATTTACTTATGGAAGCAGTAACTTTAGAGTTATGTGCGTTCGGACTTTATACATACGGTACAAACGTGCGGGGACCGTGTGAGATGCAGCTGTAACCTCGCAGTCCACATCTATGTGTTTCCAGGTTGTGGAAACTCATGCAGCCTTTAACACGAAACGCTTTACGGCCTAGTGGGCATTTTTAGAGAGTAAATAAAGGAAATTGAGTACCGCAATCGTCTCTTTTACGCAGCAATATTTGTCCATTCCTGCTCTTTAATGTCGTCCAGCGGCCGTCACAGCACAATAGCGCCGGGTTTTCTTTTGAACGATGTCTATGTTCTGATTTTGGATATTGAGCTATTGTATGATGTTGCCGATATTTTTTCGTCTGTGTCATTTCGTTCCATCCCCTCATTTCGAGCTACTTATAGCAGCGATCAGCGCTATTGCCATACAAGTTGTTGGTTCAAAGCTGCTCGCTGTTCCAGAGCTGGCTATTCTACTCTACTGACGAACTGTCTTCGGATTCGGTGGCAAGCGCAGGTGGCATCGGTGGGACAGTGGCACCTCGATCCTCTACCGTTTTGCTTCCTTCAGTTCCCTTTGCGTCTCTGTTTTCGCTTCATTCGCGTTTATTCGATTTCGTCCATTCGCGGCGTTGTCGCTGTCGTCTTCTATTTCATCTTCTCGAGTTCTGTTTCGATGGAACATGCCACTTTTGCAGCTACATTTGCGCTTGGGTTTGAATCTCGCGCTACACCGCCGGTTCGATGCTCTGACGACGGCTACGCTGTTGATAATGGCAGCGATGATGATTATGGTCATGCTTGTTGCAACAGTCCGCAGGCAGCCAACGTATTGACTGCTTTTGTGTTTACCTCTTCGATGCTGAGAAAAACGGCATCGTCGACAGCTACAGCAGCAATAGTGGTGGCAGCAGTAGCAGTAAAAGAGACTCGCGACAACTCGACTCGATATGGGTCGGGTAGAGGGCCGTCAAAACATTAACAGAGCGCGCCGACAGACGGCAGACATAGTAGATATGGACGATTGCGATGACGGCAACAACAGCAGGCTCACACATTCCCACTAGGGGACAGACGGGCAA